TCATGTACTGTTACTTTAGAACAGGTCATGACCACATCATGCTGAACCCCCTTAACCTTAGTCATTGGCACCTGTTTATAATGATTGCTTTGTTTCTTGAGATTATAGGATTGTATCATACTCAGTACAGTGACGTTTCAAGATTTTTTTCATAAGAACCTTGCCTTAGTCTAAAAAATTTTACATAAAGAAACTAACATTGCCTCACCTTTCAATTTATCACATAATTTCTAGGAACCAAATGTTTGGCTTTGATAAGAAATTGTGTACTAATGGGATTAAATTGCCAGAGGATTCATAAACAATTTCCAGGAAACTGCTAGTTTGGTGTGATTACCCTCACCTATAACATTAAAATCACATTATTGGTTAACCGTACATTGTACCATTGTTTAAACTATATAAATCAAACAAAACAATATGAAAACTACTGTGGTATTAATACATTTTTATAAAATTAACATTGACTTGAAATTGTAATTGTTTGAAATTTATCAAATGTCATTACATTAAACTCAGTTGTATTGAGAAATATAGCTGTTAGTTATTTTCAATTGAATACCATCTATACTCTTTATGTTAAAGAAATACAGTTACTGTCCACAACATTATTATTTTTTTTATGAACCCCCCAACAAAAGATGTGAATAGCCAGTGCAACCCATAGTAATTAAAAGGTTGCTGACCTCTGTTTTAAATGACTTTTGTTCAAGCAACACAATAGCTAAAAATGTTACCCTGTGGTATTGCATTAATGCTTTTATATTTTTCATGCAAGAGCAGTTTAATGCCCATTTAAGAGAGACAGTTCTCCCCTTTCGCCCCAATACCTGGTTTGTCTTTTCCTAGAGAGTAATTTATGCTCTTTACAATGTTGCTGTCAGATGCAACCTTCAGAAGAAACAAGCCTGGAATGGAATTACAGGTAATTGGCTCTTATATATAAAAATATTGCATTGTGAAAGTTGCTTCAATAGGATATCTTAATGGAATCTGAGATTTCTATGTTGGTATCTGCGTATAGCCTGTGTGACAATATAATTTAAAATATTAAATAGTACTTTTCAAATTATTAGGTGCTATGTCTCCCTGACCTGATGAATGCTGAATCTGTGGATGTCTTTATATAGTATAAGTTGAACATTAACATTTTTCCCACACTGCTAGAAATTTTGTTAGTTATATATTTAAAGATTTGTTGACTTCATTGATATTTTTGAAGATGTCTACAGGAGAGGAAATACATGAACACATTTTAAATTTTAGTATCAGAGAATAGGATTGTGCTAATCCTGCAAGACATTGTTAACTATTTTTTAATCAATAATAAAATTATTTCGGCACTATAGTTATTTTACAATAATAAATGGCTTATTCCAATTCAGTTTCCAAATACTTGTGAATACTTTTTTAACCTCTTTTTGTTGTTTTCAGCTTACTATTTGTCAGGTTGAACTGTTAAAAGAGTGGAATAATCGTTATTCACTAACATATATATTACTCATTTTAATACTGTTTGCATTCTATTATCATTGGTTAAAATCACCTTTTATTTGACATGTACAAATTTGAACATTGTTCTGGAATGTATGTTGTATTCACTGTAATTTTCTTTAATATCTTGAAGCACAAAGCTCATCTACTAAATATTTAAAAATGCAGTTCCTACATCAGTGAAAATTATATGCATTCTTATTACAAAAATCTGTTGGTTATTTATGTTTGGGAAAATAATTACAGAAAAAAAACAAATACATTCTGTGGGCAAAATTCAGAGGTGTTGAATATTGTACTACATGATACATATTACCACTGCTTTAAAGGGTTAAGTTAAATGTGCTGTCATTCCCCAGTATGTCGTTTATGGTTGTTTTATGTTGTATTTTGTGTTGATTAAAAGTACATCAAAATGATGTTTGTTGTATTTTCTGGAGAGCATGAAAGGAGTAAAAACCACCACCAGTTTTAGGTGATTTATCAGAAGATTATGATGGATGTACCACTCCCATAAATCTTCCTCAGTTGAAGCACCTGAATTTACTTATACAGTTTTGTGAAAGTTTATATGTACTTATGATAGTGATGCAATATTTAAAGCTTTATTCTCATATATACACTAAGAAGTAGAATCACATTGTACCAAAGGAGAGAAACAAGATGTCCATCAGGGCACCTTTCTCCTTCCAAGATAACTTTGTAATTCTTGTAGGGTATATTACATAAGAGTTAAGTATCATGTAAGTTTTGAAGTTTATGTGGTGATAAACATTAATGGAAAATTATTTATTTTAAACTGCAGTGTTCACCAACTCCAAACATCAGGAGATTCTTCTGGCACAGCATGGAACTGCAACCCAACTGACTTCACAATTAGTTTAGTATGATGTTGTTCAGAATGAAGAAACCACCTTGTCTGATAAATAAAGTCAAAATATACTTTACATTTGTAGTGTTTCTTATTGTAGGGTTTTGTGAGTGCAGTATTTGACTCCATGTTGTTTCAGCTCAAGTTCCTCCAGGCAAACCAGGGAAGCGGCTCCTCATGCGACAACACCGCATCAAAAAGGAGAGTGATCCTGCTCACACATCCCCTGACAGTGAGCCTGGATCACCTCATTTTGCTTCTGGCAGTGGTCTGCTTAGTTTACCACCTGTTCGAATTGAAAGACAATGCTCTGAACCACCACTTTGCACCTCTCCTTCTCTTCAGCAAAATCCTGCCACTCCTAACCTTCTTACTGTGCCTCAGCCAACCTTTCTTGTCAAACAACATTCTCACCCACTTTTGCCTAGCCAGCAAAGCTCCACATGTCCCGCTTCAACAACACTGTTAGTCCAACGCCAGCTATCGCAGCCTGCACCTGGACAGACTTGTCTTGTGCCACCTTCTTCACTTCATCATGTCCAAGTGGTGGCTGCTCCTGTGCAGCCGCCACCCAACCAGGAACCAACAGGCCGTGCTGTTAGTCCATCTGTTGTAATTGAACAGTTGCCTGTGCTACGACTTGTAAGTGATCAAATAACAGCCAAGATCATTAGTCATGGAGGACTTCGAGTTCGATCAGATGAACTCAGGCGAGCTTCTTCCTCTCCACAGGTATAGTGGGTGTTCTACATATAGAATATATAATTTTTCTCAAGGGTCGAACTTGAGACAAGAAATATTGATTGTTTTGACTGTTCACTTGGCCACTTCAGTCTGGAGGCAAAACATCTGCCACAGCTGTAATATTATAGGACTAGCTTTCTTTCATTTTGAACTGAGCTTTTTGACAGGCCATGTTGAAATTAAAGGCAACATATAGCATTGCTAAAGAAAATAGTTGCCTCTTCTTTAGTATCTCTCCACTAGCACAAATCATCAATGGTGATTACAGGCAAAAAAGATAGTGATTACAGCTTATTTTTCAAACTACCTGCATTGTATTGCTGTTTTTATATATTTTTAAATTTTAAATATTGGGTGATGGGAAGGACAGTTAATATAGGCCTATTACCTTTCTTGATTATCAGGAAGTTATAAAAATTAATTACCTTTATTTATATATTTAATGGTACAAATGCATGTAGCATGCATAGGAATATGCATGGTTGTATAATTGAATTTGTTATTTTTCAGGCATCATCACCTAGAGAAGCTTTTGAGTCGCAACGTTCTGGGCATTGCCCTGTTTTACGACCTGGCCCAGCATTGGGATGCAATTTTTGCTGGAATACAATTGATGGTCATGGCCGTATCTTACGTCGCAAAACCAAGTACCACTGCCCTGAATGCAAGACCAACCTCTGCATTGTGCCATGTTTTCAAGAGTATCATGAAAGGCAACATGCTGGGGGAAGCAGAGAGACAGCAGGTTCTGTCTCACCTACCATCATGAAGATACTTCCTAAAACCAGTTCTATATAACTTGAAGGTAGGGCCCTAGAAAACCTACTAGTCTTGTATGTCTATATAAAATGCATTCAATTCCAATATTTTCCGTTCACTTTTCTGTCCCTCCATACCCTTTATCCTCAGACTATTTTAGATAAGTTTTACTCATGTTAAAGGCATATTTTTTAATGAAATGATGAACCAGATAATTAAAATGGAATACTGAGATATTGTGAATACTAATCCATCCTGTGCCCCAGGTTACATATAAGGTTGATAGAAATTTTAGGGTCCCAACATTTGTTTTCGTGTGATCTGTGATGAGACTAGATATGCTTTTATGTTGCAAGTGGTGATTTTACTTATTTAACTTTTGTAGCTGCCAAAGAAAAGTCCTTGACCCAGCTGCAAATGTTGTATGTGTAGAGTTTCACACAATAATATTTTTGTATTGATATTAATGAGTCGATATATTGGCTATATTGATATTCAGGTGTGATATGGTCCATAACCAGTATAATTTTCTTAAGTTTTTAATTAGTAAAAATAATGTGGTGTATATTGTTTAGTTGCAGAGTTGTTTATACTTGGTGAATCATTTTGTAAGTTTGGACAATTTTTATTGTACAAGCTTAATAATAAACGCTTCATGTTATTACAGAACATTGCATGTTATGAGAGAACATTTTATTCTCTTTCTCTTCAGTTTCCATATGAATTAATGTTTATTAATATTTTGTAACTTGTATTTATCAGATATTGATATTTTCATCAGTGTTATATTGATAAACCGATATATCGACTATAAAAATATTTGTGGATCAACTTGTCTCTTTATTCTCCTGAAACATACTGTTATTAATGTGTGTGTGCACAACAGTAATGCATACTCATGCTACATATTTTTATTTTTAATAGTGACATAACATATTTAGTTAACAACTACTTGCTAGTGTCAATAACTTTGATATTATTACAGGCAACTTGCAGTACTGGTATATACTGCCTTGCATTAAGATTGAAGGACTGGTTTCTTTAGGGTTTTTTATGAAGTTTGACAAACTTGAAAGTGAGCGTAAGGAAATTTTCAGCATTATACATGCTGCAGCCATCATTTGTACCACCTAACATGGAAACTTTAAAATAATTTTAGCTCTGTACAATGGAACTATTTTTTTATATTATTCATTATGTATATTTATATTAGAGCTGGAATTAATTCCAGGAAAAAAAATTAAAAAAGCAAAGAATGTCCCAATAAAATTGTTAATTGGTCATTTAATTTCTCACTTGAATTGTATACAATTAATATATAGCTTATATTATGCAATGCATTACAAAAGTCTCCTGTCAGATCTATAATATAAATAGATTACCCTAACCAATTTTTATAGTGCATAGATCTTCCTATATCTAGTGTTATTTTGTTGCTAGGTAAGTATTTAATGCTTAAAGTAAGCGCTGTGTAATGTCACAACAGTAAATAGACTATATATATCACATGCTTTCAGACTTTTAATATTAATTTTTCTTTTGTCAGTGGACTGTGTTCTGTCATTATAAATATGGAATTTTATTATTTTCATACAGTTTACTTTAAGAAAAATTTGTGCAGAGAATACTTTCATCCTGAAGAGCTGGTGTGGGCAGCCGCTGCCCCACAAACACTTTTTATCTGGCCTAAGTAAAGTTTACTTTTTAAACACATTATTTAATTTATGATTGTAATCTGTTTGTTGTATAAAATATCAAGGTGTTTTTTGGTTTAGTGTTGACATAAATATTTTTAGTTAATCATTACACTAGCTTTAATTTTGGACTAGCTACTGGTAATAACTTACTTCATATGTGGCTGTGATGAGGAAACTAAGTCTGTCCCAAGGCTACTTGAGGTTACTCATGCCTATTGTGGAGGTCTTTTCTGTTCTGTTTATGTAAATCAGGTTTCATTCCCATACAGGAAAGCAAGAGTATTTGATTTGCATATCTTTTCTGATCTTATTCCTTGTAAGTTGTACACAGATAATTTACATTTACTTTTTTTCATTTTTATTACAGTTAATCTTCTTATGTGAGGAATAACGAATAAGGATATCAAATTATCTCACTTGTCAGATCATTTCTTTTTTTATAACTATTTTACTTCTTGCAGTGTGTTTCTTCTGAATATTTTTTTTCTCCCCACTTTCATGGAGGCATAGTGTTTTTAAATATACAGCACCACTTTAGGGGCATATTCTGTGCAACAAAACAATAAAATAATGTCTGTAAACATGAGTATTTAGACACTCTTTTTGAGCTATTTCTCATTTGAAAAGAGAAGCCCCTAGCACTGTTTATGGAGCCATCTTAAAAGTACTGTGTGTGCTACAGCAGTTAATGATGTAGCAGAACTACAACATAGGGTCGAAGACCGATGTAAGTTAATTTTTAACATACCTAGAATCTTTTAATACATATGACAGTCTTTAATGGGCCATGCAGTGTGATGTGTAATGTTAGAATCAGTAGCTTTTAAATAAACTCTTTCTGTGGATGGGTTTATACTTCATCTTTTGTAATTCTCCTGAAATAAAATCGACCATAACCTAAAGATAAAGCATTGAAGGACCCATTTGTACATAGACTTTTCTCATTGTTTTTTTGCATGAAACATGCACCTAAAATAGTGATGAGTGTGTATTTTAAAAATATGCTGTGTAATTAAATTATAGGTTTTTTGTAATTCCTTTCAGCTGGCTATAAAACTTGTATTCCCACTGCTGACTCTTATTAGTTCATTATTTGAAATCAGTTAGGGCTTACTGTATACTAAAATCTTTATGCAAAAACAGTAGCATTATTCTGTTTCCACAACATATTTATATTTTCTAATATCACCAGTATATAGATCAAATGGAATCCGTGAGATGATGTGGCTTTACCTTCTCCAATGTTTATTTACCATGTGATTTTTTTTATTTTGGGATGTTTAGTTATTTCATTACTTATACATTCTTGCAACTCTGATTAACAAAAACCTTTGTCTCTTCAGTTGTGAGAGATGTTTGGTTTGTCCGTTAACAGATAAACTTCGTAATAGAATGTCATGATACATACTTTCATATGCCAGTGCTGCAGTTGTGGTCTGTCATGCCCCCCCCCAAGTGAGTTGTTGAGGCAATGTTTTATTGTATCTGGTAACTAAATATGTTGTGTCATTTTAAAAATAAAAAGTTTGTTTCAGGAACCTGTTTAATAGAATCTTGAATATGAACTTTCATTTTTGCTCATTCCTACAGTTGCATGAACGGAAAACAAATGGAGGCTTGGAGCAAACACTTCCTAGTGTTTGTGTGCAATTTCTGAGATATTTTATTCAGTAATAGTTTCTCTGCCAATACTTTTGAAATCATTTTGTCATACTGATCATGTCAATTTTAAGATTCCATTACTTTATTCCCAGCACTTCTAGCAATAATGAATTCTCCTCGGGCTACCAGCTGTGTCTGGTGGTTGAAAGGTGAAAACACCAATGTTTCAAGAATCATCCTCGGCCTCGGGGTACTGAAGTATGAAGATGGTCCTTGAAACATTAGTGTTTTCACTTTTCAACCAGCTGACATGGTTGGTAGCCTGAGCAGAATTCAATATACTTGGTTGCTGTGAAAACTTCAGATCATACTTTCAGCAATGATTCCATTGTCCCACCCCACTCTCAAGTGAATTCAGCATTACATGTAACATATTTTGAAAATGGTGCCTCACACTGTAATCATAAAGGTTGGGTAACTGTTACCATAAAGCTCCCAGAAAACCACCATCCTTCTGCTTGTTACCATTCTTACAACATCTTTGTGGATTATGAATTGTCATTGTTGTGCTAAGTATAAATCACAGTTAAAATATAATTGGGAGGGAATGTATAGTTTATACAATTTCTCTCCTAGAAATATGATGTACATATTGTTCAGTACCTGTCTTTACATGTTGAACATGGTTTAGGTGTGCTTCAACTAGACTGTAAATAGGTAAATACAATTTATTGTCACTATTAACATATTAATAAAATATTTATTTGTTGTTAAAATTGTTTAAGCATCGAATTAAGTGGTTATATACTATATGCGCCACCTGACAAACTGAAAAAGAGGATGATATGGAAATGGTAGTGCTTTAAACATTGTTGATTGTACAAAAAGTCCAAAAATGTGACATATTGGATGTGCATTTATAATTGTTGACATTTGTCGTTCTTAGATCAGTAACATAAAAATACCTGAAATGAGTATATATATATATATAAATGCATACATATATTTTTAAAATTTTTAAATCTGTCATTCATAATACAATCTTCTAATTATTTGTATATGAAAGGTTGTTAACATGTGATTTGTTGTGCATAATCATGTATTTTTAAAAAATTATCAGCCATTATTTTTCAGTCATGTATGTTAGAGAAATGCAAAACTATTGCTCAAGTGATGTTGTTTTTTCTTGAACTTTAATGAGTGTTACAGTCATGTATGGAGCATGTAGCTTGACTTAATCCAGTAGTTTACCATGCTTATATAACTAAAATTAATTGAACCAAATTCCACACTACACATAACTACATTATCTTGGGCCCTCTATTGCTTATGATATGCCAAAAGAATATTATGGGAGAAATTGATATTAATATTTCTAACAGGGAAGAAAACTTTAAATTTAAAAGAAAAAGTCTCCAGTTCAGTCTAAAAAGAGACCTTTTATTAAACATCACCTGGAGTAGATTAAAATGAACAAAGCATGACATTTTTCCCATTTACTGGTATGTTAGATGTGCTCTCATTTAGCCACATGCTGAGTTCTTTTATAACTTAAGGTAGGTGAGTATTCATTCATCTGTCACCTGTATGGATCAAAACTTGTTGGTTGTCATGTGTTGGTTGGTCGTATATATTAAGCAGACTTAAAAAAGTTAGTGTAATCGAGATGTTTTCCATGTTGTCAATACTGAGCCACCAGAATCTATAATTTCTTCACCAGCCTGTTTGTATTTATTTTCACTCTTTATACATATGTCATATTCTACAAAGTATAGCAGTAACTTGCACAGCAAATTTATAGCCAACACATTTCTCATAGCTAAGTCAACATGGTACCTGAATATTTGTACACGAAATCTTAGAATCTTGTATTAGCAAACTCATACAAATTTACGATACCTGTCACCAACATTTGGAAATATATTAGACTGGGGTAAGGAGAATTATGAGTCACTGCCTACTAGGCTAATTTAGTTTAAGAAATATTAATGAGTAATGTTATAATGAATTTGTGTATTTTTAGGAGGCAGCCCTGTTTTAGTGAACCCTGTACCTTTTTTCTTCCATTGCTGTTTTAATTATTCAGTCATATGGGAGACATGGAGACAAAGTTCCACACATTCTAAGCCTTGACACTAGACGACTCTGTCAGAAATAATGCTGCTGAGAGAGATTGTAAACTTGATAATAATCGTTGGTCTAGGGTGTGCATAAAGTAAGTATGAAAAATAACTCAGTTTGTTTTGCATGAAGTGTTTCCTGAACTTCTGGAACAGTCCAGTTAAACAGTGTTGTTCAAAGCTGAAAGACTTGTTCACAGGATAATTATATTATAACTTACATAAAGGTGCCATGCTGTTGTGACAAAGGAAAATAGTAAGACTGAATACATTTAATATGTTTTATGCTTAAGAAAGCCTATGATTCAGTTGAGAGGGAAGTACTGTACAACATTATCATTGAATTTGGTACACCTATGAAGTTAATTTGGCCAAATGTGTTTGAACAAAACCTGCAGTAAACAGTAAAGTCTGAATAGGTAAACATTTTTATGATGCATTTCATATTTAGAATGGTCTAAAGAAGAAGATGCTTTATTGATATGCTATTAAGAAGACTAAGAAAAGCAGGAGGAAACTGAATTGTAAGGGACAGCTTTTGGTGTATGCTGATGATTATTTATTGGAGAAAAAACATACTGTATAGATGACCAAATGTTGCAACCGATCATGTCTTATGTTATATAGGTCCTGGGGCTGATTTTCCTGACATGTTTTGTGATTTTCCGCAGTTCATCCAGGAAAATGCATGCGGTAGTACTTTAAATTAGGCCATGACCACTTCCTTCTGTCTTTCCAATTCGCTATTTGTTAATAGTTCTATCATTTAGCACTCTATAGTCTTACCTGCTGAGGCCATTATTAAATATATTATATATTAAAAACAAATAATAAATAGAATAACACAGAATCTCCATTATACAATAGTAAGAATGTTGATCTAGAATTAAATGCAGGGGGACTAAGCATGTGTTTGTAACGTGTGACCAGAATGAAGACAAAATCATAATGTAAACATGGCTAATAAACCTTTGAAAATGTGGCAAAGTTTAGATAGTTGGGAACAATAGTAACTAACCAGAATCTCATTCAAGAAAAAATTAAGAACAGATTAAATTTTGAAGATGGCTGTCTTCTGGGTTGTGCCATGTAGCCTGGTAGAAGTTTACAGACGTTTCAGAGGTCCTTGCTGCCTCCATCATCACCCTGATGATGGAGGCAGCAGGGACCTCTGAAATGCAGTTCATTGGCAGGTTCATGTAATTCTCAAAAAAATTGTTTCAGGATATTTGTGTATGCTATCAGTGTTACTGATGAACTGGCTAAATGAAACCCGAAGTCTTCCCACAAATCTGAATTGATATGATGTCATAACATTTTGTAGGTTTTTCTTTATGTATATTTAAACCAAATCGAAATTTCTCTCTTCATAATGCTATTACTGCTATGAAGAATTTTTCAGTGTCTGTGCTCTCTTTACAATGCCATGTTATGGCAGTTTACATGGAAAATATATAAAATAATAAATATGATAAGATAAACATATTTTCCAATTAATAAGATAGGGTTAGGTTCCCAAAGACGTGTAAGATGTAAAACCCGTAATATTCATCTGCTGTACACTTCATCATTTGGAGTCATGATGTAATCTAATACATTCTATTACATATATATCTGTGGACTTCTTTCTAATTGGAATATGTTTCGTGGCAAATATTGGAAAAATTTGTGATACGTTTCTGTATACTTTTTTTATGAAAATGGCTGCCTTATGGGCTGTAGCACCATGTATCGTGGTGTAAGTTTATTAGGGTGCCAGAGGTCCTTGCCTCCATCATCAGGGCCCTACACAGTGCTACAACCCAGAAGGCAGCTATCCTTATACTCACTGCCATGACAACCTAAAATTCTACTTTATTAATGTTTATTTCTCCCATACAATGATTAATGTATGTCACTGTTAAAATTCCAAATGCTGTGTCATTTTCATCCTGCTGTAAATATATTCAGCATCTTGACTTGTCTATAAATCAAAGTATATATGTTCATATTGTACTATTTTTGGATAATATGTATTTTAACAGTGAAATTAAAGGGAAGAGTTAATACAAATTCTTGTGAAATAATATCTTATTTGTAACTATGTATCATATATGTAAACAGCTTTAATATATTTTGGTTTGACTTGGAAGATGCTCAAATATGTTACCTTTGTTTGTTGGTAGAACCCAGCAGCCATGCACTGCTTATAAAACAATGCTGAAAAATGTTATTATTTAAATTAAATGCAATGCAGCTTTCCAGATTACATGTATTTTTTGTGCCTGTGCTATGTGGAAGTAACTACATACAGATAAAGAATGTGTAACACGTGATTACTTGTAGGTTGTTTTTTATATCATACTTAAAACAACACATTTACTAAAATCTAATAACATTTAGTTATGTATTTTGTACTTCTAACACAAATTTTCCTTTAGACATAGGTAATGTGTTTCAGAAATTATTTTATTATGTAAATAGAAAGTGACTGAAAGTGAATATACATATATCATTTACAAAATATGCAATAGGTTGTTATTAAAAGAAGTTTAATATGATTTATATTGTTGGATTCATTTTAGAGGTTGTTATGCAGATTACTGTTTCAAATGATTTATGTAAATGTTGACATACACCTTTGCTCTTACCACTCTACCTCTGATTCAATATAAGTGGGGTGCGGTTATAGATTGGTACCAAAGTTTGTTCTGGAATAAGTACCTCCATTTTTAATTTTTGAAGAAGATATATTAGTTATATTATTTGCTTATTGTAAACTTACATAAAACTGTTTTTCAGAGTGTATAGTTTACAGCAGTTTCCTTTTGGTATTCAGACTAAATATTATGGTTGTTCCCTCAGTCACTCACATTGATAGTAGCACTTCTCAGAAAAAATTTCCATTTTCTTCCTTTGCCCATTAGTAAAGCATGGCAGCAAGAATGAAGGAGCAAAGTGATTGGTCTCTGGCCTTCTTTATATATTTAGCTTTATTATGAAGTTAATTTCTATAGAGTATTGGTGTTGGATGGTATGGAAGAAATAGCTGCTTTGATAGGAATCACTGGTGTTGATACTGTGTTCTGTGTTTCTGAAACTTACACTCAAATAGGTGTCAGCAGGCCAAGAATAACTTTAGAAGTGAATTGTCATGGCACATAGTGTCATAACCTAGAAGACCACAGTCTGAAGTCTTGCTGTTGTGAAAACCTCACATCTGATATATATTGCACTATTTTCAATTCCTGATTCCATATTCAAACTTCAGTGGACACTATGTTAGTTCCACGATAAACTTGTATTTTCTGAGCAGTCGGAAATAGTTCAAGGCCTGTCTTCATTGGCTTTTGAAACAATTTCCATCACTTGATTTCTTATTCTCTATTGTGACCCTGAGAATCTCCCCATAATCAAGGTTGTGTTAAGTCGCTTCTCCCATATTATGAACAAAAATGGGTGATCTACCACAAATTCCAGGGGAGGCGGTCTCCAAGAACGACTTTCAAGAATTACAGCTGAAATCATAAGAATAATTCAGTTAAATTCAGGTCTTTTATTAGAGTGTTGGTGAACAGCAAAGAGCATTTAACTTCATACACTAATAGAAATATACACTAACAAGAAATAGAATGAAACAAAACTAAACTAAAACAATCACTCTAGACTTTCCCATACAGATAAAATGTCTTAAAAGGAAATGATGTTTTTGCTAAATATGTCCAAAAATGTTCATGTCATTTGCAATATTGGCACACCTAGCTGTCTCAGCACACTGTTCCCAATTTCATTCTTACTTGTCCGGTACTTAAGAATGTGTTCTCTTCATCCATTCATGTAGCTGCATTTCAAGTTATGGTACAAATTAACAATAAGTAGCATAAGTTTCTGATCATGACTTACCAGAAGAAGCACCAGCCTCAGTTCCCAGTTCTGTAACCTCCACAAAGGCTTTTTGGAGAACATTGCTCACATAAAGCTCTGCAGAGCCAGTAATGCCTGAGAAATTTGCATACCGCCGATCGAACATGTCCTTCATTCCAAGCTGTGGATAAAGAGTGTACCAAGCATGGCTTCAGTTATATGATCTTCATAATTTCATGCGCCTTACTGAATTTCAGATGTAAGTCTGTTTTTTCATGTGAAACTATATTGTTGTAAAGCTATCATACTGTAGATAAGCTGCATAGTAATGTTTTGTTTCAGACACAAAACATTGCTTAGGGATGGAAGCATTCTTCTTTACTTTGTGCACTTTGCACAAGGAACACATAACATGTACATAGGATATCAGAATGCAGGAACAATTCATTGGAACAATCATAAACATAGGTGCCTGAATCTGTAAAAGTGTGAAAAATGTATGTATTATTTAAAATCTTAAGATATATGTGTGTAAACAAGTTGAAAAGCTGACCTATAAATTGTAAAGTAATGTTTGTCCTCCTGAATCCCACAGAATGTTCACACACATTTAAAATGTTGGATTAAATGGCAAATGTTGATTTCATAATAGTTCAACAAATGTATACAATGCTTTATTAAACATAAAAATTATGGACATCACTGTTGCCATATTTTATATCCTTCCTACTGCCATTTCACTAGATTTACTGTTATGCAAGTTATGGAAAAGTTCTGTCATGTACATGATTATTGCAATTTTTACATCATAGTCCTTATAATTTTTATGGAAGGCATGTATGTGATGAATGTGTATTTTCTGAATATTGTGTTGATGTGTTAACATTGGATATGACTTATTATGGACATTTTCCATCATATTAGTTTTTCTGAAACATAACATTCCAAAAGGAATCGTTCATCTCTTCTTGCCTGATGACGGAAACGGGTCCAGTTTCTGAGGTGCTGTGTTTGAGAAAACTAAGATGATGTACAATGTCCATAATAACTTATGCTTATTCAATGAAAAATCTGTCTTAAAAAATCCCATCAGCTATAATAAGTACAACTCTATTACACAAGTATGTAAAATACACGGGTCTCACTCATGAAATGTACTTCAGCCAAGCCCAAGTTGGTAAGAATGTCTGTGTAAATAATTCTACTGACAGGAAAAGTGGCTCAGTTTGTTTCGCTCATTTTGCTGCACTGCAAGAACTGAAATAAGGTTCTCACCTCCATCAGATTGTTCTTCAAATTCAATGAGGTTTCTGTCTTGAACTTGGGTAGTGTGACATTGAGCTCTTCTGACTGCATGTCCCTGAAAGTGCTTGCTAGTTCAGCTGCATGAAGGCCAGCCTCTAGATTGGAGATGCCCTCCAGGTCATCGGGCAGCAGTATAAACATGCTCATCGTCTCTCCCTGTGACAGTTCCAATACTGTTTGTTAAATAAGCCTTTGTGTCTGTTGTCTTACTCAGTACTATAGACACAACTTCATGATTTTCCATGTTAGTGGTCAATAGGATTGAAAATGTTAATGTAGGTTCATGAAATGTTCATGCTGAAAGGTCTGTCCACATAATATTTTATGAAAATTAAGAATAACTACACTATTGAGACCTTTATAATTGTACTCTTCAGCTAATACTGTGTGGGTGACCAAATCAAAGAGGATGAGAAGTGTGAGACATGTAGCACACATGAGATGGATCAGAAATTCAGGTTTACATGGGAGGTAATATTAAGATGGAAACGGTGGATTGAATAAATCTGCTTCAGGATAGTATCCAATGGCAGGTTTTTATGAATGAGCAACTGTAAGCTTCTTAAGGAGAACTCTGCTCCTTGTATATTTCAGGTGTTAGTTTTTAGTGGATTCTTGTAACTTCTTTTTCAATTCTGTGCTGGAATTTAATAGTTAGCAGTTGGCAATGAAAGAACTTTTGTGAATATTCTCCCTCTAGCAGTCCACTCAATTTAATAACTTAATAATAGTCTCATGATATACAGAATATAAGCAAAAAAGGTAGACAAGTACTAATGAACTGACTGGCTGACAGATGCAACTAATCTAGTAAGGAAAGGTGTCGACTTCAGGATAGTTTTACAACCTAGGACTACCAAAAAGAAAAATGACAAAGCTACCAATGTCAGTGTACCTGTTTAAGGTAAGGAACAAGTCCTGTTGTCAGAAGTATTTTACATTCATATGTACAGAGCATGCATACCTCATATGGAAGTTCCACTATTTTTGCACTTAAATTTTCTGAATGTTTAAAGCCAAAGAATGTCTTCATGTGCATCATTGGGATTTCAACCTCTTCATTTCTGCTGATATGGAACTTCTCCAGCTTAGTGTCCTCACTGTTGAATGGCTGTAGCCACTGGGCCTTCAAGTACACAGTATTTACAAGTACCAGGCGAGTGAATACATTTAGCACACCTGAAAGACAGTTCCAGAAGTTACAAAATAACTTAAAAGTCCTTCACACAATAGGATGACAAAATTCTGGCCAAAACATCATCAAGAATTATGAGGACAAATAAAATGAAGAACTAAACAGCTGGATGAATCACACATCCATAAGCTGGTGCTACAATTTGTGGATTCTTAGAATTTGTAAGCCTGGGAACCAGTTTCATGTCTCATTACCAGAATGCAGGATAAATTACTGTAAGGATAGCTAATAAATAATTTGAAAATGTAAAGTTCAAGTATTCGGTGAAATTTCAGGTTTTCACAGTGGTAAGGAGATGACTCTTCTGGGATGTTGTGCTGTGTAGTCATGTAGAAGCGTACTGACATTTCAGAGGTGCTTGCTGCCTCCATCATCACCTCTGAAGCATCAGTAAACTACTACATGGCACAATATCCTATAAGACAGCCATCTTCACTTGAGAATGATTGTAACAAAAATTAAATTCATGTTGAAATTATGAGTATATTAACAAAAGGAATTTCTACCATTCACAGGTTTCCCATGACCTGAAATCTTTTGCTTTGGCACTTGGTATCTTACTGAAAGGTAAAAACAGATCAAGAGTTTCCAAAAGAAGTGCTGAAGAGAATATTTGGACCTAAGGAAAATCAAGTAACAGGAGGATGAAGAAAGAGCCATTGTTTAATTATAAAAGCTTATTGGCCCATATGTAAGTCTGGCTTCATATGGCTCTTCAAATTGGAAGGAGCATCCCATAAAATCTGTGATACTTCCCTAATGTTGGATTTTCTACTGTTGAAGAAAGGAATATTATATGGGTGTACAGGGAGAGAACCATGACAGGACACATGAGTTTTTCCATGCTCTAGTTAGTCTTAAAGCCTTCTTTAAATGAAGCTCAAATTAAATGTCAATTTTATTGGAAAACTACCCATACATAATGACTTAAATACACATTGCATAAAGACCTGTAACGTTCATATGAGCTATTTTTATGCAATGTACACAAAATAAATTCAAGGAAAACTAATGCCAAAATAGTAACTGCTGTATTTTTCTTTTTATGCATTCCTATAAAATAGCCACAAAAATTTGTTTAAACCCATCACATTTACAAATTTGAGAACCCTGTGAATCCTGCACTGAATTTAAATATTTTGAATAGTCATTCTGTTGGTATGATTTTCACAAAAATTGGTCTACAGTATTAAACCCCTGAAGACAAAGCTTGTTCAAGTAATTGTTAATAATTCAATCCATACTGCAAAGAAAACATAACAGTCCTCCATTACAAAAATCAGCTTGTTAATACTATTTAAGGAAATAATCCCTGTATACACTGAGAATAATTCTTGAACCCATAAATACAAAATGCAGAGCTACTATTAAAGCAGGTGATGCATAATAGTTTGCACCAGACTTTAAAGGTTTGGTGATATAAAGGGATAAACATATATACAATAATATTATTATTGTTATGGGAAACATATTTACCTGGTCCAATCATCTGTATTATCTTGTGACTTGTTCTCTTCTCTACCCAGTTATTGATGATCCGTCTTGCCTTCTCAGAGTTTTTTTCAAAATCCACTTCTTTTGTATCTGATCCAAATGACTTCCTGATCACTCTACGAAAGTCTTTCAGAACATTAAAATTGGTTTGCAAGTACATTCTGTTGGCTATCTCCAGATTCACACTTCTGGAACTCTGTGAACGAAATTGTACTTTTCAATAACATTTATTGTAAAGTAAGGATTTATGCCCCTGCAATAAGGGGCTGCCATCTGGACTTCAGCGCTGGGATTTTATGGTTTAGGTATATACTAGACCAGTGTGATGCATTATCAGTTGGACTGCAAGTAAGCTGTGAGACATAGTCAGTAACGGTTAAGGTGTTACTCCTGAATGTATGACCTTTGTCATAAGTATGATCTTAATTCCAGGTTGTCTAAGTTTGAAGCCTTTACACATTTCCTAAAAATATATGTAATTCCATACTGTATTACTGGTGTTTCAAGTAATTCAGAGAAGTGTGTCAGTTCACCTTCATATTTCAATAATTTCACTCTCCTACATAACATTCTAATAAATATTGCCTAATAGAATGGTTGCTAGTCCTGGATCACTTGACATGGGCTCAAGCCCTGATTAGGGCATGAGCTTTGTCTGCAATTTTATCCTTTTCTGTGAAGGAAGAGGTATTGCAGTGGTCTGATCCTGACTCCAGATAGTCCTAATGCTTATCTAAATGAGTTTTTAGAAAACATACTGTACAAGAGATCTGGGTTGAATCAGGCTGGGCAAAAATTATGATAAATATGGCCAACGGAAGTGTCTAACAGACATTCAAAAATGAAACATATAATCAAATCTTGGAGATGTGTCCATGCTTTACCGTGTTTATGGTAGTGTTCATATCATTCATTTACCTTTAGAGAACCCAGTAACTGTCGAAAACCTGTCTTGACAGTATCTTGGTCTTGAGGTAAATGCAGAGCTGCTGCCATCTGCTCAGCTGTGCGTCCCCTAGCACCATGATAAGCTATTGCCAGAGCCAAGTGCATGCTGACTGGTGACATTACAAGGCTCCCTTCAGGAACCTGGCTGCTAAGTGTCTGCAAGACAAACACGTCAATATTTCATGTACGATCAGTTGGCCATAGTGGTTATTCATTCAGCTGAAAGAGAGGTTATTAAAATTACTGTACATTACATCACCACTGTACTAAAGAGAATTAACTGATTGTTCGCTGTTTATTATGAAATGATAATCTGAAGGTAAATAACTGAATAATTCTGTATTTCCAGATAATTAGTCCACACCATTTCCAAATTGCAGTCAGGTACATTATTCAAGCTAGTTCTCTATTGGGTCTGATTACTGCCTCACCTTGTACAAACTGAGGGAAAACTTGTTGTTGGCACTGGCTACTGCATGAACTGTTGTTGGATCAGACTGTCCATATTTCTTCTGTTTAGTAACTGAAATACAGGCACATAGTTACATCTACACCTTTTTACACAGCACTGTTGTAATTATTTTTCTTCCCTTTCAATTGGTAAGGAATTTTGTTCATATCACTAAACAATATTTAAAACATTCTTTTTCCTGACAGAAATAATTGAAATAAGTAATAGGAAATGGGTAGATAGAAGAACCATCTGTTAGTCACAATGAAACTTTCTTCGAAATTGATGCTAATGGGGTCTCTACTCCCGCTTCAAGGATATCAACGAGTTTGTTACTTACAGCTTTGGCCAATCAACTAGAATTCTCAAGTTTTAAGAAGCAGTATGCGTCGAAGACATTATGACCATGGATAAAAATTAAAATATGGCTACCATTCCATTTTCTCAATTTGATGGTAATTGTTCATGAACCATTGTGGTGATTATTATGAATATACAAAAATGTTGACAGAATTTCTGTACATACAGTTTTGAACATCTATAAGACAACCATAAAAAATAAGAACACGAGATCTGATATGCACAAAAGGTCCATGCAGTGTCTGTTGTTGGCCGCCTTGACCACCTGCACGTGACCTCGGAATTCTAACTTGTGAGCTATATTGCATTTCATTGCTTCATTACAAAATTATATTTCCTAAATAGGTCTATTACATTAATAACACAAGACTTGTGTGTCTAAAAACCCTGCAACAGGGAAGTCAGTTCATGAGTTCTACCCAGAATTCTATTCCTTGTTTGGAATTGGTAAGATTTTAATGAGGTAAGCATATTATGTTCATTTATTCAATAAAACCGTCAATAAAAATAAAAATGTTTAGACATGAAAGACGTGACAAAACTAATAGACAGGACAGGGGCATGAAAAGTGGCTTGAAGCATATGTAGTGAAGTTTATTAATGACAATGACAGTAGTTCAGAAAGCTAATGCAACACAAGTTGAACAAACCAATGCCTTACATGCTGTGTCAAGAAACCATGTTGTGAAAGTACAAGAGTTTGAAGCATGATCATCAGAACTGCAGCTGCAGGGACAGCCATGATGTCAGCTTAGGGAAAACCTCAAAATGATTCTTTCATATTTCTCAACTTTAATTGGTACTTGATCTTTGGTTGCCTCTCATGTTTAATGTTATGTAGATGAGTTGTTTCATGCAACAGTACGTCTGCTACATTTGTCTTCCTTCAGCCGCACATGCCCCAAATTGTCAGACACAGTACAGTATAAGCAATAAATACATGGCACAGGCGTTGGGGTACAAAACTTCATTACATTCTTTTAACGTGTCTCAGCGCTGTAGTGGAAAATATCTGCGCAGATACATTGGCCTTGTTTTGTTTTTTTAGTGATCTTTCGTTTTGTCAAAGATCGACCTCGGAAAAACCAGATGACGTGACTACGTCATGACGAAATGACATAAAGATAGTAACTAAAAAATTGCAACGATCTGTGCAAATTATATTTTATATTTCGATTAAAGTGACAAGAATGAGGCTGCTCTCTAGAGCGGGTAGTCGGTAACCACGACTGATATAATTGTCCTCAGTGATTTCAATTTTAATTACTTCTAGTTCATTTGACGACGCTTTTTCAGTTGCTCAAACAAAAACTGTCGAATGATAGGATGATAGTGAATAATGAATTGGATGGGATGTGGAAGGAAGAGGTCGTGGCCTAATTTAAGGAGTGACTGAGGAATACCACGAACAACCCCAGTCTGGATTGCCGGTCTCCGGGCCTAGATTTGAACCGGGGAACTCCCGAATACGAAACAGTAGTATTAGCAACTCGATCACGACGTTCAGTTCAGTGATTTCAAGGACAGTACCTTAAATAGTCCACAACCACTTCCTCACCAACCTCTTACATTTAAGCTATAAATAGCCTCTATGGTTCTTCTCTTTATCACAACGTCGAGGCCGTTTCCGAGGAACTGCCCACCCTCGTATTCAACGAAAACAAGTGTTCTTTCTTCGGGGTTAAAACGACCGAAGCGTGAAGGTAACCACTCACTTCCATCTAGTGCCGAGATTAAGACAGCATCCCCATACGTCTGCATGTTGTGATGCTTACTTAAAGCGTCAGGCACAAACGCGTCTGTTTTTATAACTTGGGGGCTTCCCCTATATTTGCTGCCCTGACGGAACAAGTGAGTTTCTCTTTTAAATATCCAGGAATAATGGGAAACGTCCCAAACTACCTCCTCCCATAGTTACGAAATAGTAGGATAAGGACGAGAGGGGATACTGCCACAAAACTTTCCACTGCAGATAAAGACCGATGATTGAAGACTGAAACCAGATTATCCCTAAATGGCTGCGTTAAAACTTATTTATTATTCCGTACGGGGTCGTACACATCAACAATGATTGTCGGCGAACAGTGTTGGCAGTTTGCAAATATGATTCGTCCGAGTTTCGAAACAGTCTCCAAGCAAATAAGAGATCTCAAGAGAAGGATCAATATCAAGATTTAATTTAGACGAGAGGATAACATGACCTCACCTGCAAAGTCAGCGATGGCGGCAGTCAGCAACAGCAGAAGTAGCAGCAAACACGTTCTGGCCATCACGACGCTTGGAGCTCAACTGCCGCTCCTGCCGTGGCTTCCGTCACACAGCATCACGTCTTCCAAGCAAAAAGTGTGCAATCCCCCATGCACACGAGGCTTTGCACGGGACTTCAGAGCGCAGTTAAAAGTCGCGCAAATGCCCTGAGCCTTTACACGTTCCGTATGACGTCGAAGTAAGCGATGGGTTTCAGCTGACGAACACGTATCGCAAAGACTTAGTTCAGACTGAATTAACACTCAGCTGCTGTCAGCTCCATCCAGGCTTCTTTTTTGCCCGCTTTTACATCCATGAAAGTAGGACAGACACTTAACCTGTGAACTTTCGTTCTATGGTGGCTTATCCCGAGATGCAACGAAAGATACTTACCAGAAGTTTTTTTTGCGTAAATTGCGACACTTTGTACTGTGAACAAGGTGATGCAAATAGAGATTAATTTATTTCAAAAAAAATGTTGGGAACTAAACGCGACGTCATCCGTTTTTTTAAGGCTAAGAAAAATGACGAAGAAAACAAGTCACTTTTGCGTGGACTGAGCGTTATCGCAGATGAACTTCCATCACACACACACAAAAACGCGCGCGCGTAATATTTTGTATTTTCCATTTCCCTTCTTTCTTTCCTTTCATATATATTCTTCCAACTTTCTTCCTTCTTTCCTTTCATCCAACAGATTCTCCTAGTCATTAACGTAATAATGTCATGAAATTATAATATTGACTATTGACATGCCCAATTTATACCATGGTTTATACTTATTTATTTTATTATTTTTCTTCTGTTTTTAATTTATTTCTTAGTATGGTATGGTAGACGTAGTCCCTACAGCATTTTACGTGTACTTGTAGTATGAGTCAGGTTACAACAGTATGACAGTCATCAAATTGTAATTTGACACGGGGTAATCAGAAACCGAGTATAGACCTACAGACATTATTACAGTAAAATGGATCTTTATAACAAACTGCCCAAATGTGAATTGGGTAGAAGTATCTTAATGTCGTGTTCTGTTATGGTTTTTGTGATAACAGAGCTGAATGTACGTCTGAACCACAGAAAATTTTAACTTAATATCCCAAGTCGCTGTTAAATACTCAGTAGGTTTATGCCATGACGTACGTTGCCCTAGTACTAAATTTCAAATGAATAAGCAAGCTGTTACTGTAGAAGATTCAGGAGTTTACGCGGCGTTAATATTATTGGTCATTAACACTAATTGCATTGTTTGAGCCGCTTACCTGAAAACTACAATATTTTCTGATATAAATTTCGCGGTTTGGCTGATTGAAATGAACTACCATGGACTTCAAGAGGCGACTTGAAGTGTTATGCAAATACACGTGTTATTATCAAAGTTACATGCCATTCATTATAACCGCAAACATGTTTCTGTGGTTGCATTTAAGTAGCATATTACTTATTTTTAGATCGTATGTGCTGTTATGCTGTAACACAAACATTTTCCTTGTGACCGTGTGTGTGTGATGTGGAAAATTATACTAATGGCCCGAGTGGTTCGTGTCCACGTTCCAACGTCCACGCGAGTGGATCTTTCCAACGTTCAACGTCCATGGGACAACATTGCAGGCGTGACGCACAAATAGCAACGGGAAGATAGTGGTGTATTAATACCGAGGATATGCACTGCTTAATCGGGTACGTGAACCAAATTCCGTCGACATTTAATTTATTATTATATCAATTGGTCTTAAGACAGGGTGACAATAACAGAGAAGCATGCGAGGCAACATTCCAGAAGACAGGTGTCAGGTAAGACAAATTTGTAAATCCTGTAAATGTTATTATGTAAACGCCCGTTTCTAACTGCTCTCCACTGTACGTGTGTTTGATGTTCAAGACAGAATTAAAGATGCATAGAATCAATCAGCTGTCATTTCCAGTTAGCCTTGACATGGAAAAACGTGTTTATGAGCAGAGTCCGAGAATCCAGCTTCAGTATTCGACCACAGAGTGCACAAGTTGTATGTTCAGTCGATGTTTCGAATGCATTACGAACAAGAACTAAAAGATCGTTCAATATTAAAAACATTCTCTCAGCGACTACGAAATGACGAACAGAAGGCCTGCTTAATTGACTTCTTTAGAGCTTGAAACAATTTATCTAGCGACGTATTTAAATGCGTCTGTAGTCATTTTAAACATGCTCTTTAGATATTTCGAAATGTTGCGCGGGTGTTATTTTGAGGAGCAGTTTTCTTTTAAAGCTGTTACAAAGTTCTTCACATAATACTGTTTCTTAAACTAATCAGAATTGGGTTTAACAACGTAACTAGCATAATGCTCCTTGTAATTGTCTTGTTCGTTATGTATCCTAGAAGTCTTTGTTGTGATAAGAAATAACCCTACTATATATACCTCTTCACCTTATCAATAGGCCTGTATCAGAATCGCTTGTGTGACCTGTGCAGTTGAGTGTTTCTAAAATCACTGCAATATTAAATGTGTTCTGATGTAGGCTAAGAGGCCTACGAATAAGATTTCATAGTGTCGGAATTATTTGTGTTAGTGCTTAATATGAATGAACTGAAAAGCAGCGAGTAGGCGAAACGTCCAGTTATCTTGTTTGTATTTTCTTTTGCTGTTATGACCTGCAAAAAGAAAGCGAGTCGCTGGAAAATTATACTTCGTTATATGCATATTCAGTGGAACGTTACAAAAAGCTATGCTTGCGTCATGATATTAACTCGAAATTCCTCAGTTTCTCGAAGAACGGTTGGAGCTCGTAGGATTTGAGGTTTTCACGACGGTGGGTCTGAAGATGGCTGTCTTCTGCAGTCTGGTAGAAGTTTACGGACGTTTTAGAGGTCCTTGCTGCCTCCAGCATCAATGGAGTGGAAAACGCGCGATGTGTTTGGTGTGTCTAATGATGTGTCTGAGGAGACACAAAATTAGTGACAGTTACCCGATATAACCTCAAAAATGATCTTTACACATCACAACAAATTATCAGTTATCTAGTTTACTGGGTCGTTTCGACCGCTTTTACCTAGTGTAACAATATTGCAGTGAGCGTTATAGAAGTAATTTTCCCCTGGGATTTATAATCACAACTCCTGACTGCGTATGGCGGGCGTGGAGATATCTCGGCAATAGATAGTGGTGAGTTATCACCTTCGCTGATCTGTCTCTTTTCCTCCGGGGAAATAACCCCTGGTAACCATTTGATATGGTCGGTGGAACTAAACGCCGGTGTAAATGTGACGCCGAGGAGAAAATCTATCTTTACGAGGAGTCAGACCCCGGTTGACCAGCACCTGCCATCTTGCTTTTCGCTGTTTCGATTTTAGTGGACGTGGAGGTGTAGACAGGGACTTCACGGCTCCTTTAACAGCGGCCACTAACTGATACATGTCCTTATGTAATGGTTGCTATATTAACCACGCATTTCACAGTGGGTTACTTGCTCATTTCAAAGCGCGCGCCTACCGAAACCACAATTATGTAACGATGTTTTCACAAATTTCTCTTCAGCGCTTTGCTGACAGTGATCCTGTTATGAGTTCAAGAACTCCCACAAAATTGTTCATGGTTCACAGAGGATGAAAACAGAATATGTTTTGCCCAGGCTTTCTCGTGCTGCTTTACGTGTCAGGAGGAAGAAGTGGGTGCTGTAATCCCTTTTTGCTGTTTTCTTAAGGACTGCGTTCTCCGTAAACGAGTGGCAAACTTAAAGCACTTCTCAGGAAATCGTTATATTACGCCTTAAAGAAAAAGAATTCTATGTTCATGCATGAGGTGCAGAAGTCAATTAATTAGCTTCGTTTATATGTAACGTTTGCAATCTAATACGCGTATCATTTTGAGGCAGAAGATGACAGCCCTGTGGGATATTCAGGGCTATGAATCACAATACAAAACGGCGCTCCAGAAGATCAGAATCTTCATATTACCACCGCGAGACCTAAAATCTTAATCAGATAAATATTTACCCACTTAGCCTCTACTCGGACCACCGCGTTTAAACTACAGATAGGGATTAGCTCTATCGATTGAGCCCAACTGAGTATCTCTCTCTGAAGACGGCCGAAACATCGTGGATTTTATAATTTTATTTATTAGGCGATGAAAAATATCCAGAAAATTCTTTACTTCAAGAACGCACCATCGTCATAAATTTTTAGAATCGAACTACTTTCTTCGTTACACGAAATTCAATTAGAACATTGCAGAAGGCAACGGTAAACCACTTCTGGATCATCTGCCAAGAACTTATATGAACAGGTCCCAGTCCGAGAAAAGGATGGAAGGATCCTGTTCATATGGACCTGTCGTCAGACAGAACACTAAATAATAACAGTACTTATCTTCTGAGCGAGTGACAGTCTTTCCTGAAATGTGAACGTATCATAACATATTAAGAAAACTGTAAAACAGATTTCATTTAAAAGAAATCTGTATTAAGCTTTTCTGTTTGAAAGCAGTTAGTACACAGATGTATAGGACGCTTTTGTGTGAAGGAGGCGATGGAGCGGTAAGATTTTTACCAAATATGCGTTTTGTTGTGGTGTTTCAATGTTTCTTATTTTATTTGTTCTGGTTGCTTTCAGAATTTAAGATGGCGCTGTGTTGCTGAGTATAAAACTGGAGACATAACATACTAAATCACACTCCAGCATTCGTGTCGCTCAGAAAGCTTTGCTTAACTCAACATGTTCTACAAGCTGGTAAGTATCATATGTTATACAATGGATAGTGACTATGTGCTTTGTTAAGAAGTCGTGGAATCAGAAATCCTACAGGAAAACTCTAGTTCACGTCTCAGATAAATGAGATGAAACCGAACTGAAAATGCAAACGTACTTGGCATTAAAGGTACATGCAGTCAATTCGATATATAGGTGTTTCGAACAATTATGATTAAATAATTCAACATCTTAATTTTAAATACATATTTTATTATTTTGTTCAGATTTCTTACCCCAACAACTTTGCCATGTGCACTTGTGATAATTCAGGTTGCTACAATTTGTCATAAGCAGTCCAATGTATCAGAAAGACGTAAAATATATTAATTTATTTAGATTATCCGGTTTAAGTATGTGTACTACGAACGCTTAGACTACACCATATCCACATTCCTGGATTAAACTACGAAAAGCCAATAAAATAAAAGGGAGTATCTAATGCACTAAAATAGCATTAAAAATTATATTGTTGTATCAGCTGTTCCCAACAGAAATTGGAGAATTCTATTTTTTTAAATTTTATTGATATTAAAATTAGTTTTACTTTATTTGTATTCTCCAATTTTATTAATCCCACTACTATGATGTATCTACATCATTTCAGGGATGTAAAGTGTTTTCTTGAGAAAATTTCAATAATGGGGAAATATGAAAGGTGTAAGTACCAAAGAAAGTGGACTGTGTTCAGGGTGCCATCAGCGAAAAAAAATATTGAAAGCTATTGGTTATAATATATATTTCTCGGTCTATTTTATGGAAGGACGCACTCAAACCATCCGCATGCAGCTAATACAATTGTGTTCCACTTCAGGTTCTGTTCGCTGCAGTCGCGATGGTCCAGGCTGAAAGGTACCCTGCGGGGTTGAACCCGGGTCTGTGCCCCAACTACCCGTACTGTAACTCAGCCGCTTCCTTCCACTACGCTCCTCATGCTGCTTCAGCAGCCCACAACTACGCTCCTCATGCTGCGGCAGCAGCCCACAACTACGCTCCTCATGCTGCGGCAGCAGCCCACAACTATCCCGCAGGGGTCAGTCCAGCCTCGTGCCCCAACTACCCCTACTGCAGCCACCATGTGCCAGTGGGCCCCCTCCCGGGGTATCACGCTCGGCAGTACCCCGCTGGAGTCAGCGCGGTCACTTGCCCCAACTATCCGTACTGCCACTAGCCGAACTAATCCAACAAAACTTATGCTGTCTTCTAGCATTTAGAAATAGCCAGGAAAATGAATATGAATTATCCTTCTGAGACAGAAACGTTTTCATGCTTTCAGGAACGACGACAGAGGACTCGACTATTGCTTGCGTGGGATGTTATTACGACGGCTGTCAGAGTAACTACTTCCTTCTATAACAGCAGCAGACTGCGAATTTCTTTAAATGTTATATATCAGATACACATTTATGTACAAACCATGTCATGTCATGCTAATACGTAAATATAGGCCTGTGTTCAAATGTGTTTCCTTATTTAATACCCCTGCCTACAAAACTTTAAAGTTTTATTATAGATCAATGTAATCAACAGCTGATACGCTGGATACAAAGTTAGAATTACAGGCTAGTATTTCATGTGTTAAACTGCTCAAATAATTCCCTCTTATCATGAAATCCAAATGTTCATCAACAATATTACAAACTCCCGCTATTAATATTAATTTTTACCCTGCTACACTAACACTACCATATCCGAATGTGTCTCTCAAATGGTCTACTAACTGAAGTTCAGTGTTCAGCGCAAGAAAACGAGTGACGTGCTTACTAAGAAGAGCTAAAGCCGTTGAAATTACGTTTGACTCAAGTACTTCTTAAAGAGCGTCAAATGTATGTAACTTATGATTCCCGTTTGCTGTCTGTGTACCTACATAATCATAATTAGGAGACCTTTTTGCAACGAGGGTTAGTTATCGAGTAAAGGGTGATTTTTGCCATTCTGGAAACCGACAATGGATTGTGACTGGGTACAGTTTCAACAGTTCTCAGGCCGGTGGCTAAATGCGAAATACCTCTTGTCATTACAGTAACAGGTCGGTCTGGTGATAGGTTGGCCCATGAAATCAGTCACAGAAGCTGCGCGCCAGAAGATACCCCTACTCACTGTCTACAAGAAATCCAGAGGAGGATGGAACAGATAAATATTTTCAATGTATGATTTGAGGTTTTCACAGCGGTGAGTATGAAGATTCCTGTCTTCTGGGTTGTTGCGCTGTGTAGTCTGGTCGATGTTTGCCAACGTTTCGCAGGTCATACTGCCTCCATCATCAGGGCGATGAGTATGAAGATTTCTGTCTTCTGGTTGTTGCGCCGTGTAGTCTGGTCGATGTTTACCAACGTTTCTGAGGTCATACTGCCACATGAATCGCACTGACGACGGAGGCAGTATGACCTCAGAAACGTTGGTAAAAATCGACAGACTACACAGCGCGACAACCCAGAAGACAGAAATCTTCAAATCTTTTCAAGGTTCAGACAGTAGCCCTTCCCGCTCCACATCAATACTACTTATGAAATAACAGTTAAGTAGAACACCAGCCAACAATAATGACTGGAGAGTGTATTACTTTACAAGTTCATTATAAAACTGACAATGTTTGGACGCCGTTTGCTTCTATTTGCAAGAAATTAAAACTCTGCCTCTTTGAGCATGGAGGCAAAACTCCATTTATTCTAAGCTAGAGCTAATCGATCAGCTTTTACTCTCCGAACGAAAACATGGCCCTGTTGCAGTGTTAGACGAGAGAAAGCTACTTGTAACCAGTCAATCGAAAATCTATCATTAGGTTACGTGACGCAATATTATACCATATAAAGCTGTAATTACCATTTACATACAGTAGTATGGTGTTCTGTACAGGAACATCTCACTTCCCTTGTCATTATAGAAGGCCTCTTGTCCCGCCCTCGAAATGCAGTGAATAATGTAATCAGAATAGGTATTTAGTTTACGTAAGCCTCATGTAAAGTAGGAAGCATTGACATTCGCTCTGTCTCCTTCTTTCTCAACATGGCGTTTACTTTCCGGTAATCGAACCCGTAATACAGTTTGTAGCAGTTCATGTTACTTGTTCGTCTACCTCTGTTTCATTACTTACCAAGTCTGAACTCTATTCGTACTGTACCTCCTAACATGTACATCAGATGATAAATGTTTTTGCTATTCAACATTTTATGGAATTTTGCGATTCCCAAACCATCTGGCCTCTTCTATCTTCCTTATTTGAACATCCCTGTTGCACACGTAATCCCCGTTCATGTGTCAACATTTCAGGAGTGTGAATTATGAACTAGAAAACGATCTTAGCCATTTTGAATTATTCGCAAATGCCAAGGAGGAGAAGTCATGTCATTTCCATACACGGCATCACAAAAGAACACCAGTTCTATCAAAAGCATCGGACTTTGACACAATACAAAACTGTCAAAGCGCAGACATAGCCTTATTGAAACTTTCATATTTTCCACTAATTCTCCGATATCTTTCCATATATTTACGTGAATAAATACGTGGGTAAAGGAGATGCAGCTGCCTGACGACCTGAGAAACAAAGGACCACTTGGTCTCATCCTACGCCTTGAGCGCTGTGGCGGAATGCTATTGGATGCCTCTGTGATGACCAGAGCCTGGCGAGTTCTCATCTACAACATCTCGAAGGCCCTCACGGTATCTTGCATCATAATAGTGTCTATGGGATTCGCAGTGGAGTCCTACCTCACTCGAGACAATCTGGAGGAATTTGCAGAAAGCTTCGGTCTCTTCATGACACAGATGAAAAACTCGATAAAACTCATCTCTCTCTTCGTGCACAGAAAGAAAGTACTGAAGATGATTAAAGACGTTGAAGAGAACTTCTTTATCCACAACAAGGATCTCTTAGCCGAGGAACGTTCTCTGATCAATGGTTATCTGAGTCGTGCCAAGATATATGCTTTCATGTTTTGGATCCAGTGGGGAGTGTGTATAGTGTTCCAGATAACTTCCAAGAGGGTATCAGACAACGCTGTGAGAGAGATGCCGATGAAGATGTGGGTCCCTTTCGACACAAAACACACCCCTTACTACGAGCTGGGCTACGTGTACAACACGCTATTTTGTGTTGTTATCTCTTGGAATGTAGCACTTACAGACACGCTGTTCTTCGCCATAATCGTCTACACGACTGCACAGTTTGAGCTTCTCGGGATGTCTCTCAGGACCCTGAATCAAGAACACGAAGGTATTTGTTAGAGGGGGTGGGATATATCGTATTGAATATAAGCATTTTTAACATTCTATAATATAATGGCCCTTTAGCATTGTGATATGTTTTTAGGAAGTTTATATTTTATTCTCGCAGAAGGCCTTAGATTTTGATAATTTCTTTGGCATGACTTAAACTGGGATAAGATTTGTTGGTGTTTTAAGAATGGGGAGGAGGGGATATGTAGCAACGAATTTTGTAAACTACGTTTTATAAAGGCCACAATCTGGAAATTAAAGTTGAAGGAACAAACTGATACACTTAGAATTACTAACAACTTATGTGTAAAGGACTAAGGCAGAGTGTAGATTATATCTATAACTTCCGTTAATATGAGTCACTTAACCTTGCGTTGCTTAATAACCATCTAGTGTTCAGCAGTAACATAACCTAACATCTCAACGTTAATAAGACACCATTGTTAAGTCACTGTCATATCGCTGTGAACTCATCTTGAGCATTATATGTTTATCAGACTCCAAAAAATTAGTTCTTTTAATCATAACACAATTACCCATTGTACTTCGGTCCTCGTTGACAGTCTTCGTTCCAAAATCTCCCGACTCACAGATCCTGCACTGGATGTTTGGATGACTGGCTGTTTTGTTAATTACTAAGAAAACAGATATTTGGTACGGGTTTCGGAAAACTGAGAATCAAACTGGTAAATAATCATACCACTTATTTTGCAGGAAATCAAGAACTGGCGGCTACTTCGTTGGTGAGCAGAGAAAAAAGCACAACTAGGTGAGAGCTGTTTAGTGTAATTCAGTCCTATTAATTTCAGTGGTCAGAACAACTAGCCTGTGTGTGTGTGTATATATACAGGCTCTCTCTCTCTCTCTCTCTCTCTCTCTCTCTCTCTCTCTCTCTCTCTCTCTCTCTCTCTCTCTCTCTCTCTCTCTCTCTCTCTCTCTCTCTCTCTCTCTCTCTCTCTCTCTCTCTCTCTCTCTCTCTCTCTCTCTCTCTCTCTCTCTCTCTCTCTCTCTCTCTCTCTCTCTCTCTCTCTCTCTCTCTCTCTCTCTCTCTCTCTCTCTCTCCCTTGTAATTGATTTTCTGCAGAACCTGAAGTTTCGAAGCCGTAATCTGTCACTGTCCTGAGCCAGCTCATCATATTACGACTCTCCCTACTTCATTCCTTGTCATTAATGTTCATGCTAAGATCTCATTTCATTCTTGATCTTCCAGATTGTCGATTTCATAAAGTTTTCAGGACGAAAATTTCTGTATTCGTGCATTACTCAGGATGAAAAGCGTTCCATTTATATAATCTGTACTCCCAATTTATCGTCAGTCACTAGTGTTTTTGTGTAATCAAATAAAGGGGGGGGTGCTGGAGTACAAACCACACATGGGGTAATAGAGAACCGAAGTTCTGGTAGGAAAATCTGAAGGGAAGATACTGCTTGGGAGAATTCTGAGCAGGTGGATGATAATATTAAAATGATAATGCTTCGTGAATCAGACGCAAATAAGTATATTTCAGCCCTTGAATTTACTACATTATTACTTTGATACCCAAGCGTCTAACAGATCCTACACATAGGTTTCATAAATTAGAGGAATTATTTTCCCGACTGAAAGACTGTCAGCTTCTCAAGAAAGAATCTGCCTCATGGAAATGGTTTGCTTGTGACTCCAACCCCAACCATATGACCATGAAATTATGTCTTCCCAGTTTTTACTCACAATCTCTTAATACTTGGTGCTACGTATGAATAACGAGAGAAGAGCTAATAAATTGTACAACTGCTTCATCCTCTCTTAGCCCCAAATATTTTCTTGAACATTGTTTTCATTCGAATTCTGAATTTTTTGCCTTTGTCCGCCGTCGAAAGTTTAAGGTAACATAAATTGGATTCTTCTTGAAGATTTCTGTCTTCTGGGTTGTTGCGCTGTGTAGTCTAGTAGATGTTTACCAACGTTTCTGAGGTCGTACTGCCTCCATCGTCAGGGCGATTTATAAACGCTGGTAAACATCGAGCAAACTACACAGCGCAACAACCCAGAAGACAGAAATCTTCATACTCACCGCTGTGAAAACTCAAATCTTACATGGATTCTTCTTCCGTCTTCATGAAAAGAGGGCGAAACAAGGACTCGAAGCCCGTCTGTTGGGCAGCCTGGTTGAGCTAACCTCAGACCTGAATATTGTAGTTTTAGTATTTTATAATTTAGACGATGGGCAAAATACAAAAACAATTTTACGTATTGTTCTCACTCACTTGAGCTTACTACTGTATACGTCTGCTGGTCTCTACGCGGGCTATAAAACAACATGAAAATTATATCAAGTCCTCTTATCTGATCCGTCGTAGGTAGCTTGTAGATACACAAATGTATTAGCCTTTACGACTACTATGAAACACGAAGTTACAACTACAAGCCGCAAAATGATTGGTTACCTAGATACAGAATTCAAGAATTCGTTCTTTGCGATTTCGAATAGGTCTACCTCATTTGCTTTGACATTCATATATTGTAGACACAAATCTACTATTGCGAAACTAATGAACGTAACATGTAATTGTGTAATCAGACACGCATTATTTTTAGTTGTATTTTATAAAATATACAACACATGGCAGAGTGTTTTATATTTATCTTCCAGAGTTCTCTTCTTCTGCGTATTTCTACATTTATTCAGTCCCTGTAGCAAAACATTTTTAGGACGGGTTCGTATCCAATTTTAAAATCGAATAAAAATTTTAATTCCGAATTAAATACTATTGGCGAGTTATCAGTTCCGTTTGATAGGTTCTTATCTTGTCTCTGTCACTCCGTACCCATGTCTAAATATCGTGTTTTACAACTGGTTTAACAGATATTTTGTAAAATTGTAGATGTGTACTCCTAGATATTACACGCCTGTTGCCACTGTGTTTTGTAATTAGTGCACTTAAAAGATTAAATGTTTTCTTTAAATCCAGGGCAGATCCCGTGCAGGTGGATCGACAAGATGACGACCAGTATCTGGCCCGCTGTGTGCAGTATCATCACCGACTCTTCGAGTAAGTGTACAAAGCCAAAACGGCCGAGGTTTCCAGTCCTTACGCTGGACCGGCTGTGCTGAGGAGGAGTCGTGAGTTTCTCAAGGAAAATGTCGCGAAAGTTCGTCCCTTCCCAAACCGTCATTCAAAATCTCTTGTCGGTTGTCATTGACCTCTGCGGAACCCAACCAGGTGACACTCCGTCCTTACACAAGGTGGTCGAATAGTCCTATAACCCATTCCTGACACATGTTCTATTTCTTCAAAGAATAAATTACATTGCTACCAAAAACCAATGTTATACAAAGTGTTGAAATGTTCACCGTGTTCAACAATAAATGTATCCACACAAAATATCGCCAAACACGGAATGTCGACCGGAACGGTCTGTCTTGTACACTACCTGTGTCACGGAATCGGTTTACCATTTGAGATAATGTAGATTTCTTTGCCTCAGGAGAATCGAGAAGATTGTCCCCAGACTCATTCTGATCAAGTATCTTGTAAGATGTTTAATGACGCCTTATGTTGCTGGAGAAAATAAAAACTTATCTTGAATAACTGAAATGTTACAACCCTAAACCTAACATAGGCCTGTTGTCCATTTAATTATGCAGTGACCTGAACTTTGCAGCTTTTACTTTATAGTCTGTTTTCCTTATTTTATAAGGAAAGACAAGCGTTTGCCATTATGGTGTCTATGTATCCTCCTTAATATCTTTAAAACAAATTTATGATTTTAATTAAATCTGGCATGAGTAGGCTTTTCATTCCACTAGGAGGCATATTTGAACTTTTTACTTTATTACTGTCAGTAATACAAACAAGGCGATCTGTAAAATTCTAATTTGGAAGTGCCACTTTTTATGTAGGGTCCTGAACTTATGAGTGGCAATAAAAATTGAAGAATGGATTTGTAATATTTGAGGTTTTCACAGCGGTGAGTATGAAGATTTCTGTCTTCTGGGTTGTTGCGCTGTGTAGTATGGTCGATGTTTACCAACGTTTCAGAGACGTCATTAGGGCGATGAATCGCACTGATGACGGAGGCAGTATGACCTCTGAAACGTTGGTAAACATCGACCATACTACACAGCGCAACAACCCAGAAGACAGAAATCTTCATAATATGGATATTTTGTTAAAGCGGGGTCAGTCTAGCTTCTTTCTTTTTCTTCTTGTAGCAACGTAGAGCTCCTGAACTCGGTGCTGAGCCCCATTGAGTGCTCAGAAATTCTCACTGCTTCAGTGCTATTAGCCTTCGCTGGATTCCAGATCACGGTGAGCAAAATCCCACATGTCCAGTTCTATGATCTCATAACCGGACTAAGTTCAGGTAAAAGCTATAAGATTTACCGTGCATGATATTTAAATGGGCGTGTTTACACGCTTACATAAAGAAAGTCGGGCTTTGTCAGTAAAAAATAAGAATACTTTCAAGTGAAATTGGTGTGTTATTGTTCACAATCTCCAATCGACTGTAACTACGCAGTATCTCACTGAGCGAAATCTTACTAATTTTTTTTTTAATTTCACTCTAAATCTCCGGAATACACATAGAGTAGCTAACTGTTGTCTTTCCTTTGTGATGTGTGAGTGCCTCTAAATAGCATCGGAGACAGAATAAAAGCGTCAGTTCCCTTCATTCATGCATTCATGCACCACCACTTCAATTAGTTTAAGGTCAGTGACTGCTTCGTTTTGTCAGGGTGTGTTTTACGACCTCTGCAGGTTGTAGCCGACCCCGTTCACTTGCCTCGGCAGATCTCTTTCCTGGCTTTGGTTGTGTTGGAACTGGGCCTGCACTCCTGGTTTGCCGACAGCCTCACTGCCCAGGTAAGCAACAGTCAGTTCTCAGAACGAAGTATATGTTTACTAGTTGAGGTTTACACGACGGCGACTATGAAGAGAGCTGTCTTCTGGGTTGTAGCGCCCCGTAGTCTGCAGACGTTTATTAACGTTTCAGAGATACTTGCTGCCTCCATCATCAGGGCGACATCACATTGATAATATTTGTGGTAGGAAATTTAAAAGTACACAAATAGGAAGCCTGTAGTTACATCGGTTGATGAACAACAAACTAGTTGGTCGGTAAGCTACTTAGTTACTTGTTTTAAATATCAAACATTTGCCTCGTGTAATTTCAGACATTTCTCATAGTTGCCATGTTTTTTTCGTTACCGTTCAGACATTACTGTCCTACATCGTATAAATATTAAAGATCTGTCTTGTGTTTTGAACGAACAGAGTGAGGCTGTGTGCCAGGCTGCATACTCCAGCCCCTGGTTCCAGCACTCGATTGGCGTTCAGCGGACCGTCGCTTTCGTCATGATGCGGGCACAGCGTCCCGTCAGAATCAAAGCGGGGCCCTTCGCCAACCTTTCACTGGAACTTTTCGGCGCGGTAAGACAATAGGGGTATGGGTTCGAGACCAATTTTATATCCCATGGCTCTCCTTTG